GCGGACATTTGTGCCTGTCATGCGCGCGCGCCCGCGCCAGTGACGCCTGTTCATTACTGTTGTTATTGGTCGGCCATCTTGCGACTACGTTTCATTATTAAAGCTTGTTCATTCGTTTACGTCGTTCGTCGTGTTTACTGGCGCTGGTCAGGTATTATACTCACTTCATGATAGCCTTCTTCCAAAACAGTCGTATTTATGATGTCCTTGGGATAACCAACGTGTTCTAGTATGGCCTGGACCTTTGAATAAACAATCAGTATACTTGGAAAGGATTGTCATGATACCATATCTCGTTATCACTTGTCTCATTGATACTCAGTTGACTAACCAGAGTGTATTTAAAACAGTTGTTAGGTACTAAATGAGAAATGCAGTCGTTTTCCTTGAGGCTGAGTATTCATACTCTTGCTGCCAGGGTATATAAGGAATACTGTATAAAACGGCGTGCGCGTTTTCTGATCTCTAACGAGTTTTCAAGCGTTTCGACCAATCAGAGCGCGCGTAGTATCTGATCAAATATTTTCTAAATGCATAAACAGCTATTCCCAAGTTAAATACCGCACGGATACTGATATCCAAGATCTTTTTTATATAAGTACAGAGTGGTTTTAGCTTGGAATTTAGCTTAATTCTAAACCTGCATTGTGCTAATCAATATGCAGCATTCAATATTTTTTGAAATAGCTGTAAATAGATGTATATAGAATGAGAGAGGACAATCAAAAGCCAACCTTCTCTTCAGCAGCCTTTTTTGTCTTCTTGTCCATCCACTTGATTTTGTCGAGATGAAGCATGTAAGCTAACACTAACCTGTGTACTAGGTCTTTAGCCTACAAAACAAACAATTCATCATTAGTGATTTTGATACACCTGACTAGATTGGAACTGGGCATACACAAACACTAATATCATATTCTCTGTCTTTTACCTTGTCTAAATCCTTGTTTGGTAAATACTTTTTCACGTAGCGTGCTGTGACTGCTGCGTTCAAGTGTGCGGTTGTGGAACCTACACATCGCACCCACAGTGGACTGAAGGCTTCAATACCATAAAGAGCTTTATAGTACCCAAGGTAAGGTTGTCGAAATTCTACTGATAGCATCCCACTATATTGAAATACTACTTGAGCCAGCATATAGTTCGCCAAAACTCTGCAGGACAAGCAATATTCAAAATCAGCGAATATGAATGATATTGCGCATGCAATGCAAGGTATTCTAATTATTCTTATATAGCCTAGTCTACTGGTTATTGCATACGATCTTACCTGGGCTCCACCATTCCAACCAACAGCATCATACGTTTGAAATAGTTGGGTTCAGGCACGTTAATTATTTCGGAATCTTGGAAAGGAGCTTGTTTGGGGAGATCTTGGTAAATGAACGATATGTAACGTTTCCAGTCGAACTGTTGACCAAGGAAGATAATATTGCTATTTAAATATAAAAAAACTGAAATAACTAAAATGATTAAACAATATTATGGTTGCTTACCACTTTTCCTTCGTATGCTTTACGTAACGAACCCAATGTTGTATATGGACTAACTAAGTACTCTCTCTTGTCGAGCCTTATCGCCTGTAGTATCATGACATCATATTAGATAATGGGTCATAAAGGCACATTATGAGTGAATAGCAGTGAGACCTTACTTACCGCTGCTAAGGCGATTTCAAACTTGATAACATTCAAAATATCAACCTTCATTTGAACCTTTTGTTCCGCACCAAGTAACTCCGCAAGATTCTTGAGTAGTTGAAAATAAGAAAAGATTATCTGTGCAAAGATGAATATTATGAACATTGGTGATTATCAAAATATTTTGATGTGGAGCTTAATAGCTGTACTTACCCTATCTGAGAAATTGGACTTCGCGAGGTAAAATTCTGGTGTTTCTAGAGAAAGTTTCGTCTTGCTGATCTAAAAGAAAATTACGCATTTTCACTTTATAGACCAGGTATATACATTGTGTCAGTAGTTACTGTGTAGGCTAATGTAGGAATAAATGCGGTACTCTACTGACTATCTATAGGTCAGTCTTACCGATAAGCGATACAGTGATGAAGCATTCCTCGCGTCGTTATCAACAGAAATCCTGAATAAAGGAAACACCGAGACATTCTGGTGGATCATAGCCAGCGTCCTCTCTAGATCCCAGTCTTGCTCACTCCAGGATGGATTAAGGATTGGCCAGGAGCCCATTGATTCGAGTAACTCTAACAATGGCCTGGCGCCTAGTTTGTTGATCTGTTTTATGTTCATGCACGATGAGTACCAGTTGTACACTTTGGTGAAAACATCGTTCTCTGTTTTGATAAAATGATAATAGGTTTATCCAGTTAACAAGCCGACACGCGAGTCCCCTTTTAACAGTATAGGGCAGGGACAGATGTTAACTGACTGTCCTTGCAAAAACACATGTAAAACAACTGTAAAAAGCCATGCATACTTGCCTTTCCTATCTTTCAGTCCTTCTAGAATGTTCTTCAGTTTTATCAATTCCTGCTTATGCATGTTTCCAAAAGTGCTTTCTGAGTTTTCTTTAGAGGAGTAAGAACGTTTGATCATTCCACCACACGCGTATTGGTACATATCGACACATGGTTTGGTACTAGTGTCCAGGTTCCTCTTCAGGACGCTCACCAAATCTAAACAGGCTTTTGTCTTGCAGTCACGCTTATCATCCGCTTCCTCATGACTTTGTAAAATACTCAATATATCGTTGTCGGTCGATTGGTTAATGTCTGCTCGAAATGAGGGGGGGAAAATATTATGAATATTTACGACGAGAAAATATGTAGTTTTAACAATCGACTAATCAGGTGGAAATGGTTGATAAGAGTGTTTCGATGTCGGCTGGTCTTCATAAGTGGTTGGTTGGGGTTTTATGGGTGAAATTGTAAATACCGTGGTAGACGAGTTGAAAAAAGAAACCCTTACTTTACTATTTGGACAGCAATTACAATTTATTCTTGCTCTTTCGTTGCCCCCCCC